CTTATTCCTGTGATACTGATTTTCGCCATTCTTTCTTTCTTTTCATTCTGCAGGGGGGGCCCCCCCCCTCTCAGGTGCTAGGGGAGGGCGCGCGCCTGGCCGCCCCCCCCCCTAGTTGCGCCTCTGACAGGGTGTCCCACATCATATTAGACCGCCAACGGGTCTAAATTGCGATTTTCGGGAAGCTAATAAGAAAATTTAAAATTAGAATGAATCAATTTTAAAAATAACGTAAGGCTTATATAAGAATTTTCTTGGGGAAAATGATAAGTTTTTCGAGGATTAAGGGTTTATTTGTCGTTAAAGATTGGAGATAATCTAATATGATATGCGACGCTCTGTATGTATGACAACCTTATGAATCAAAATTTAAAGAATTGAATTTATAGAAAAATAATTCAAATGAGCAAGTAATGTGTTGATTTGAACTAGAGGATATGACGTCATGTCAGTAGTTCAAATGAACAATAGTTCTAACGAACATATAGTTCAAACGGCGGTAGTTATTCATCTCGTGTAATCTCTTATCATAAAAGGCTATTTTGTAACTGAAAAATCAGACTAGAGAAGATGATTGTAAGCACATCTGCCGCGGGTCCTTTCCATTAATTTAATATATATATTTTTTCACAGAACAAGAATTTAACTAAATAAAAAATAGAAATAATAGGTGTAAGTATAATATAATTTCTTTGGTCGCAGCGCCGCTCCCAGCTCCTTAGCCTGTCCTTTCCGCGACGCTCGGTCCCTAGCCGCAGCGCTTGGGCCCTCTAACCTGTCCCAAAAATTGTCTTAACCTATAACCTAACCTTGAAATACCTTAAAAAATAGGGTCCGTGGGTCTGTCCNGAAATTACCAAAAAATATTTTGCCGTAAATTAGTGGTCATGTTCAAAATTGATAGGAAAGGGGGGGGGGTCTATAAATCTGACTGACCCTAATTTAATTTCTTGTGGTAATCTTTTTAAAAACGAATATGAATCTATCAGTGAACATACTTTTCAGACCTCTAAAATGGCAGCAAATGAGGCAGAGGAAAATGTAAAAATTAAAACCACAGGTAATACATATATATAAGCTGACACTATCAAGACTTCGCTGACACTATTCACCCTATAGATGATAAATCACACTGATTCTTACAGTTAATTGTTTCGCATCTCTGATTCTCATATTCTCAGGGTTGGGAGCCATTTTCAACTATATCCAGGAGAACAAGGATACTCTGGCGAAAGAAACCAAACCTGATCCAAATTCTTCGGTAACATCCTTGTATTTTTATACATACATCGATTGAACTAACAATAAACAGCCGATTGAGCTAAACTGGGGTTTTGTAAATTTTGAAATTAATGCACATGAACAAAAATAAATTATTCATTATTCGGCTCAGAAATTGTCGTAACCTACACCTCAAACTATAGAAGGAGTTATTTGTTTGGTCATTTTCACGAGAAAAAACTTCAACTAATTTCACAACTTTTTGTCAAATGAATAAAAAAATATTTTTATTCATAAGATTAAAAAATATATGTTTAGTGGAAGAATGTTCCATTGGATCTTTTATGTGATGTCGGGCACGGGATTCCTAAGTCCCGGAAATCCCAGCGACCTTCTGCATTTTTCTGCGACGTTTGTCAAATTGATCTCAACTCACAGGTTCGTCGAATCGATAGACTTTATTCTCATATCAGCTAGGAGATACATAATCTAAGGGGTGTCCGATCTTATCAACTGGCAATTTCCTCAACTTTTTGATAGGAGTTACCTGACAATTTACTGATTTTTCCGTTGAAATGTTTCATATTCCCATATTTATCATTTTAACCTCTAACATTTTTTATGCATTTTGTGGTTGGATAAGATGATTTTTTAATAATGGAGGGATTATTTTACCCCTCTGAGAGATTTATATGGCACTAATTCATGTATCTTGATACAAATTATTTAAAATTATGTTGTACATATATGTGGATTTCTAAATCACATGAAACAACATGATAATTATCCATAAATCACAAAATGATCAACTTAGGTGACCTACGACACTCATGTTGCCGGGATAAAACACCAGAAGAAAGCTCGAAACTTGAACCACCTGGAGAAGGGACTAGGAGAAGCTTCTCTTAAACCTCAAATCAAGAAGAATAAAGGAGTATCCTCTACTAATATTAAAGTTAGAATTTTATTTTTATGGGAGTGTTTACGAAAATGCAAGTAGGTGCAGGAAGAACTGTTTATTGCTTGTTGTAGGTGAACATGATGCCATGTATCTGTGTGATCTTTGCTGTACGGAGGGACCCTGTGGAAGTGTGTTTGCTCATATAATTGGATTCAAACATAAAGAGAAATATCTAGCCATGAAATATAATCTAAATAATCTTAGTAAACATGATATGGCCAGAGAAGCAAAGGTGAGTCAAGAATTTTAGTTTAAATTGATATTTCGAAAAAAAAATATTATTTTGAATATATTTTCTTTTAATCCGTCTAGAACTAAATTTTTAGAAAACTACTGAAATGTTTTAAATATTTGATTGATTTGTTTCGGTTCAGTCATCATTGATCTATGTGTCCTGTCCACTCATTTTTACACAATATACAATTTGAATTCATGTGAAATGCATTCTATTTCAATCTGATAAATACACTAATTGTTCACTGGATATTAAATGTTATAATGCATCCTGTACACTCAAATGCGCTGTTCACTTATGTACACTATAGACTTGAAGTCTTTGTACACTTATACACTGTACAATTATGTACCCTTTTCACTTATGTACATTTTACAATTTTGTACATTTTACAATTATGTACAATTACAATTATGTACATTTTACAATTATGTACATTTTACAATATGTACATTTTACAATTATGTACATTTTACAATTATGTACATTTTACAATTACGTACATTTTACAATTATGTACATTTTACAATTATGTACATTTTACAATTATGTACATTTATTCATTTATGTACTCTGTACATTTATATACACTGTAAATTTATGTGCACTGTACACTTATGTACATTGTACACTACACTGTAAACTTATTTGCACCGTACATATATGTACACTGTCTACTTTTAAACACTTTCAACTTATGTAACCAATACACTCTAAACTGTAATAAATTTACACACTAAATTGTACAGTATACACTTATGTACACTTAACATAGTAATGTTCACTGTATAATTATTTGCACCTTAAACGTATGTACACTCTACACTAATAACTATTTTCCTATGTACCGTGGGTAGTGTAAACTGTACACTCATTTACATTACGCTTGTATATGTTATACAGCACAGTTACACTTACGTGCACTTTACACACTTTTGTACGCTTATTGTACTTTTTTGTAACTGTGATTAATGACTTTATTACGTTGTACTGTACACTTATATACACTGTTAAATATTTAGAGGGTGGAGAAGCTGGAAGGTAAAAGATTAAATGACATTACAACTATAATAGATGATCTCAAGTATCCCTGGCCTCCTGGCAAGAAACCTGAAGGATTAGGTAATTTTTTCAATATTTGAATAATTTTTGATGCTGGATTGAACTGAACGTAATATCAGAATTAAGTTGACATCAAAACTGGTTTTTTTCTTTTTGGCTTACAGATTTTATTTTCATCGTTTATGATGTTTTCCATCGCGTTTTATTAATTTTTTCTTTTCAGTAACCTCAATCTTGATTTTCATGACTTTGTTTTCAGCTAGAAAGAGGCCGATTGAAGAAACGGAGGACGACGATGCTAGCTCAGAGATTTCTCTCTCAAGGGACTTCGCGAGACGAGGTTACGATTTCAAGAGACACACGGAGGAGGGAATTAAACCCAGTCTCTCGGAGAGTAAAATAGCCAAGGTTCTCGGAGCGCTCCGGAGCTGTCAGGTTAAAACCGAAGAGGATGCCGACATGGCGCATCAAGTTTCCGCGCATCTTGTGCGCGCACTCAGTGATTACAAGGAGATGACCGGAAACCCTGCCGAGACTAGACTCGTCCAGGCTAAATGTGATCAAATCCTAGATCTACTCTTCAGTATCAGAAAGATTACGTCCTTTTCCAAAGTAAAGACCGGAGAAACGTCCGGAGAGTGGAAAGCAGATGTAGTGGATTACGGTCACGGACAAGCACCACACTCGGAGATAGGGTTCGGAGGAGGAGGGGGTGCTCCAGGATACGGAACCTCAGGACCAAGTTCATTAGTTGGAAGATATTCCACTTCAGCTGAACCTGATCCATACTTCTCATCCTCTCTACCCAACCCTGCTTATCAAAGTATCCCAGCTCCAAGAAGGTTTGAACCTGAAAGTACTGTTTATGCAGAATCGTCGTATAATTCAGCTCCAGACTACAGAACTAGTGATTCTCATTATGAACAATGGAGAAATTGAACTCGTAAAGTGCAAATAATTTTTTAGGAACAATGGGGGAGGGGGTCAGAGCACATTTTAGTTTTATCTGTTACTGAAGCAACCAATTCAATTGATTTAATGATATTTAAGGGAAAAATTACTTTATTTGTATTCAAAAAGTAACTTTAGGTCAGGACTTATTAGTGAATATTATTGTTAGACCCTTGAATGTAATAAAGCCTATTTCGTCATTAAAATTAATTTTTTTTTTTAACGAGCCACTTTTTAGAGGAGTAGTAAGATACGCTTTATATTAAAATATTTCGAGGGAAATTTTAATTTTTTTATGTTTAGTTTGGTCGATTTCAAACAGACCAGATATATTCATGATTTTAAAGTTTAAAATTTAACGAGGCATCTTTTTTTGACTCTTCAGTCTTCAGTATCTTTTGTGGTACTTATTCTCAAAGATTCAAATATTTAACCTCAATACATCCAATTCTGAAAACCTAAATAATTTGTAATATTTTATTTTGGCTCTTTTTGAGTAAAACTTCTCAACATATATTAGTTAAATCACGAGGTGGGGTTCATATGGTATAATCATGAGAATAAGCACAATAAGAATTGATGTCATAAATATGAAAATTCAATTTTTACCATATTAAATTTCATCTATTATTAATTTCTTTTCTCTCTGATTTTGTCTTCACTAAATTATCTTAAATGTGCATTTTTATTTTTCTGTTTTCTTGTTTATGTAATTTTGTATTCGTAAATATACCAGTTGAAAATACCTAGGTTTGTCTGTATAGACGGGAATACCCGGATATATATTTATAGATCTAGTATATAAAGACGGGAATACCCGGATATATACTTATAGATCTAGTTTATTAAGACGGGTGTACCCGGATATATATTTCTAGGTCTAATATATTAAGACGGGTGTAACCGAATATATATTTCTAGATCTAGTATCTTTGAGAATATCCGGATATATACTTCAAGATCTAGTAAAAGTGTATAAACTGAAGAACCCTGATAATTATTCCAGATCTAGTATGTACAGACGAGAATACCCGGATATCCCGGGTATGTTTGATGCAAGGTTTAGAGAGTATAACAGGCCGAATTTATACAGAGAATTTCAGGCATCATGGCTCATTTCCATTGTAGGTAAGAATGTTATCCCTTGGGAAATTTATTTCGGGAATGTTTCATGTTATTTTCTTCATCAAAATATTACGCATTCTTAGGTTGCATGTTATGCTTAACTCATTCATTAATTAAGCAAAGAATAATTAGGATAGGTCAATGTTTCAATTTTATTAAAACATGTGAAGATATGAGTATCAAAAATTTCGCATTGACCTTGCTGAAAATACCCAAATATTTTCAAACTTGTTTGATTTAGGACAAAAAAAAAATACTTTGTTTGGGACTCTGACCAATGGCTTTCCCAAACCGTATTTTTGAGAATAATTTTCTCAATTGTTAACTTTTTAAAAGTTCTTTTTTTACAGTCATTCTTAAATTCATTAAAATTAGGATTGACCAAAATCATAAGAAAATTGTAAATTCGATATTTTTATATTTTCCTGGACGCACACTGTAAACAGTAGTGTGCCGGGTCTATATATTGATACAATATAACTATTAATATTATTATAACTTATTAGAATTATTTCTTGAGGATCTATAATGATAATAATTGGATGTGGATTACTTTTCTGGAATGAAGGAAGAGCGGTGAAGACATCTGTTTCATTAGACGGTAAATATCTTTTTCATTCAGTTAAATTTGTTTTCCATTTTTCAGTAAAAAAAAGGTTTAGGTTAAACTATAAAGGCTGGGGGGNGATAATAATAAATTTTGATTAATCTTTGTAACAGAGGGACTCCGGGATATAACTGTTCCTGAAACATTGAACGTTGTGTTCGAAGAGAATTCTGGTAAACTAGTTCTAGTATCCGGTACTCTCCGTATAGAGGATACCCTCCAGGATCCAGCCTACGCTATCTCCATTAACGCCGTGAAGCTGCGCCGCGTGGTTCAGATGTATCAATGGTACGAAACGGAGGATCAGCTCTCAGCCAGCCTGGAGTCTGCTGAACATGATTCACACAGGTAGGAGGACGGACCAGGGGTTATTTTGTATATAGGAGAAAATACTTTTCGAAATTTCCCCACCAAAAGTTTATTGTAAACATATGTTTTGTCTTCATATAAGATTTTTCCTCACATGAAAATCCTCTATATATTAAGATTTACAAATAAAATTATTTTAAATCTATAAAAGTTTGTGAGAATTCATGTCAAAACTTTTAGATAATGATAAAACCAGTGCTTAGGATCCGGATCCAAGGGGTGAAATATAAACCGAAAACTGCAACAAAAAAAAATCTTTTTTACTCCTAAAACCAAAATCTGAATTTTTGTAAAAAAGAGAGATTATAAAAATTTCCTCATTTCTGAATGGTTCATCGAGTTCTAGGATAAAAATATCCGAAAAAAAAATAAAACAAAAAATTTGAACATTATTTTTGTTAAAAAATATTCAGTAAATCTATAAGAAATGACCTGGATCCGGATCCATTTTTTTCCATTGAGGATCCAGGATCCGCATCCGCATCAAAATTAAATGGATCCTAAGCACTGGATAAAACCATACCAGAAGGTTTTATTGTGCTGTCCAATCAACACTGATAAACATTATGCTAAATTTGTTATATTTTTTTGAAAAAAACAAACTTTTTTTTCCCCTCTAATAAACATAATATTTTAAAATCTTGCACAATGCGGGAAATTCAAAATTTATTTTAGTAATTTTTTTTTTAAAAATTAGTAAAATGAATGATTTTAAAATAATGATATTAGAAAACAAATATTTGAAAATTTTAATAATTTTTGATATGCAGAGAGAAGACCTACTCCTATAGCTCCGACTGGTTTGAATACCCGATTGAGAGTAAATCTTTCTACAATGAGCTGGGTAAATCTTTTTTTCTGTAACCATGAGTTTTAAAAATGTTTTTAATGGAAACTTTTTTCTTTCTTTTTTTGACTTTTTTCTTAGATATTTTTCGTATAACACACCAGACCATTTTTTCGTCCGCACCACAAATGACGTCACAATTAACCATTATTTCTTCCGATCACACCTTTTTTCGTCCGGGAGCTTGTCTTTGTGTTTTCAGATATATATTTTTATGTCTTATAACACTTATTTAAAATTTAGGCAACGTCATGGTATTCAATATTATTTGATTTTGTTTGAAAAATATAACGGTATTTAAGCCCAATTTAGCAGAAAACGGAAAATGCCCATTTTTCGTCCGGACCACACCTATTTTTCTGTTATTTTCTTATTTTACTCCTTAACTGCAACTTTTAAGTGATAGTCGCTGGGACTTTTATAATCTACAACTAAAAATTAACATATTTTTGGTAAGGAGCATTGATATATTTGATTTATTTGATATATTTGATATATTTGATATATTTGACATATTTGATATATTTGATATATTTGATATATTTGATATATTTGATATATTTGATGTATTTGATGTATTTGATATATAGGGCATCACAATCCGCATCCTGAGGACTGGCCAGCTAACAGCAGTATACAAACAAATTCCAGGGTTAAAATTGGAAACTTTCTCCTTGGGTCAAGTGTTAAAGAGAAGTTTACGGAGTTCAAACCATTTACTAGCGGAGAGAGACCTAGAGTAGAAGGAATCAAGATCTATGCAGGTGTGAGGTTTTTTCAAAAGAATTTTTTAAAGTTTGTTTTACAAAAAGTTTGTTTCCTTTGCCTGCAAACATTTTCTTTTCGTCCATTTTTTTAAAAGATACTTCTGTTTTCATTCTGTTTATTTTAACATTTCTTTATTCTGACCGTCCATTTTAAGTTTCTTTTCTCATGTGAGGTTCCGAACAAAAAGAGGCCCAATCGGTTATTTGATCATAACAAACCAAGAGAAAATCCGAAAATATTAATATGTTTATCGATTAATAAGTTAATCTTTTATTTTAGGTTTATATTATCACAGCGCTAACGTTTGGCAACCAGAAATAGGAGACTATAGGGTTCAGTTCACGTACGCCGGCAGGGACGGAGAGGAGGTAGGTGGATAAACTGGCAGGGATGGAGTGGAGGTAGGTGGATAAACTGGCAGGGACGGAGAGGAGGTAGGTGGATAATTTGGCAGGGATGGATTGGAGGTAGGTGGATAATTTGGCAGGGATGGAGAGGGGGTAGGTGGATAATTTGGCAGGGACGGAGAGGAGGTAGGTGGATAATTTGGCAGGGATGGAGATGAGGTAGGTGGATAAACTGGCAGGGATGGAGAGGAGGTAGGTGGATAATTTGGCAGGGACGGAGATGAGGTAGGTGGATAAACTGGCAGGGATGGAGAGGAGGTAGGTGGATAATCTGGCAGGAACGAAGAGAAGTTAGGTGAATAAACTGGCAGGGATGGAGAGGAGGTAGGTGGATAATCTGGCAGGGACGGAGAGGAGGTAGGTGGATAATCTGGCAGGTGGATAATATGGCAGGAACGAAGTGAAGGTATAGGTGGATAAACTGGCAGGGATGGAGAGGAGGTAGGTGGATAATCTGGCAGGTGGATAATATGGCAGGAACAAAGTGAAGGTATAGGTGGATAAACTGGCAGGGATGGAGAGGAGGTAGGTGGATAAACTGGCAGGGACGGAGAGGAGGTAGGTGGATAAACTGGCAGGAACGAAGAGAAGTTAGGTGGATAAACTGGCAGGGATGGAGAGGAGGTAGGTGGATAATACGGCAGGAACGAAGTGAAGGTATAGGTGGATAAACTGGCAGGGATGGAGTGGAGGTAGGTGGATAAACTGGTAGGTGGATAATCTGGCAGGTCGATAATATGGCAGGAACGAAGTGAAGGTATAGGTGGATAATCTGGCAGGGATGGAGAGGAGGTAGGTGGATAATCTGGCAGGGATGGAGACGAGGCAAGGTGGATAAACTGGCAGGGACGCAGAAAGGGTAGACAGAATAATTTGGTAGTGGCGAAGTGAAAGTTGGATAATCTGGTAGGAATGTAGAGAACTGGCGGGGACAGAGCAAAAGTTGAGTAGATTATATGACGTAACGGAAATTGGTAGACTTATTTAATCTTTGATATCATCCATACATTTAGTTTACTGTGGTTGGAAGGCAGAGTGGACGTGAGATCCGTCCCTACACTACGGAATCTGGGGAGGAGTTGTTAATCCTTCATCCTGGGATCAGAACTGCTGCAGAGGTTTTCAGATCGGAGCATAATACTAACAGAACCACAACCTGGATATATAGACTAGCAGGTTTACTGATTAGTGATTAATCTTTTGAATGTTGGTTCACGTCCGACTTATCATTTTTCAAATATTTCAGTTTCTTGGCCGGAGATCTCGATTATTCTGCTTGATATTTTTTTTTGTGCTCTTGAATAAAAAATACGTTGTCATTTAATCTTTTCATACTCTTTTGTTCAGGTTGGTTCATTTCATTCCTCGGATTCTCCTGTGTTGCCAATCTCCTGGAGATGTTGATAGATTTAAATCCAATATTGAGACAAATCCTTGCTCTGGGTTTCTCACCAATACATTTCTCCGCATCTGTTACTGTCACGTTAGCTATAATAGGTTGGTCATATTTTATTTTATAATAAATTTATGTTTGCGGAGGCCTCATATTATCACATATAACTGAAAGGACGGGAGCTCAAGCCTAAATGAAGGATTATAAAAGAAAATTGAGTTACGGATTGGGTCAATTAAAAAAAAACATTTTAAAGAGACCTTCTAAATAAACAAACAGAGAATATTATTTATAGATATAATTTGAACTTTATTTTTGACATATGAACTTAATTTTTTAATCCGCTTTTTTAGAACTATCAAAACGATAACTAATTGTGCAGGGTTTGGCTGGGTCTGGTATAGACCTCTGGTTGGATTATCTCTGGTGTCAATTTCTCTGGTTCCTTATATAGTTCCTTGTATCAGATTATTAATGATCAGACGAGCAGAGCGATCTCGATACAGACCCTGAGAGCTTTATCAACTTCGCTGTCGTCTTCAAAAATTCTAGAAAGAATTTGTTTTAAAGTTTAGCCAAATTGCAAAAAATATATTATCAACATAAAATCTCACAATGACGCGATTCTATCTAAAGACGTAGAAACATTTCTCATTATTAATGAGTAGTTTCGATCCTGATTTTTGTTTAATTCTTGGTTTCCATTTTGATAGTAAATTAATAATTACCTATTTACCATTTAATAGGCTTTCAGTTGTTGGAATATTATTCATATTTGCTCAAATTAACATTGTTTTTTCTACTCTAAGTAAATTTTTATAGTTTAAATCGGTTTTTTTTATTATTTTAGTTTTTCTTCAATTTTGTAAAAATTTTGTGTTAGGAAACCTTATAATTGCATGTCATAATTTCACGGTAGTTTCCTGTCGTTTGTAAATCTAAATGGTCGGTTAAATTTACCGTTAAAATAAAAGTCACAAAGAATGAGCTTTACAATGATTTCTGCTTTAAGATACATGCAGATAAAAAGTGTAAAAATTATCCAATCAACTGTTCCACTTAGTCCTCGATGCAGTAATGTATTGTATATTAATGAGCATACCCCCTTTTTTACCACTCTAGTCCGTGCCCATTTGGTGATATAACTCATAAAATGAATATTATTATTATTATTATTTTTATTGTTTTTATTCACAATCTTATTGGTTAGCTGGTACAATGTCGGTTGTCCGCTGTTGTTAAAATGTGCAAAAAATTAGTATAATCATCTTGAATTTGAAGTATAGGAAGTCTGACTTGATGTGATACCTTACATTCTTTCTGTAAAACTCATCCCTTACCGTTGTTGTACTTTTCACCAATATAATCATCCAATAGTATTTAAGAAGCTTAAAACAATTGGAACTAAGCGTTAATCTCAACATTTTAGATTTAATTTGATTTAATTTAATTTGACTTGTAAATTGTTTACCTTAGTAAAATCTATGCATGATGTCCGTATGTTTGAGTTTCAGATGTTTTGTGGTATAAAATGAGGAAGGATGAGAAGGTCAGGGATGGGTTGGATAAACCCCGACTGTTGGCGTGGATTCTGGTCTTATCCTAAGCCTCCTCCGGTAGAATTCTCCCGTATTCTTCCAGGTTCGAAGTTATATTTAAATTCTTTAAGTTCTTGTCACAAACTCTCATTTTTTTAATCCATATAACTTCGCAACCAAAACTATGTATACTGTTAGATCAAAAAGTATTAGTTTGAAATATCAAATGTCTATATCATCAGGCTACAAAGTTATATGAATTAGAATATTTGAATCTGACAATAACACGGTTCCAACGTCTGGATGATAAATAGTAAAAGATCAGTTCTGCGGAATCAATGAAAATTATATTTAGTGGAACATGGTGTGACTAAAAAGATATTTATATTTCTAAAAATTTGCAAAAATGTAAAATTTCATACATTTTTTTTCTCTTCTCGGAACTGTCCCAAATAGTTTTAATTCCTTGGTAATATTGATAAATAACTTTTATCTTCAACTTAAGTTATATTTATAGCTTCAAGATAATAAAATTACTCGTTATATTAGACAATGCTCCAGAGCTCCCGGATCTAACCCTGATACCGGACCATGTCCAGAAACCAGGATATTACTACACCGGAAAACCGGAAGTTGTTCCTCAAGTTCCGGTCATCTGGAACTTGGAACAGATAGATAAGGTATAAATATTTAAGATAGACTTATCATTCTTAGTTTTGGATAATTGTTCTTAAGTGAAGGGAGTGAAGGCTTCTTTTGATAAAATTGTCAATTCTTCATCAAATTCTCTAATATTTGAAGTATTCTGGTGCGTACATTTGCCCAGAGGGGGGGGGGAACCTAAATTTTTTCTTACTAAGTGGAGGGGGTTGGGGCTTAAAACTACCTGGAAACCATAGATTGATCCATGGGGGGGGGACTAAGCCCACCTAGTCCCACCCCCCTGTGCATGCCTCTGGAAGTATTTTACATATTCTTTAGTTTTTGCTGAACCACTTGTAACTCTTGTAACACTTAAAAGGTTAGGGGGTTGAGGGTCTTTTTTCCTTCTGTAATATGATCCTGCGGGTTCTTTCTCCTTTCAATTTTAAAATGTCAATCCTCAATTTTGAAATTATAGATTCGTAGTTCCTGCAAGATTGCGAGTGGTGCTCTGAACCTAGGAGAGTCTCTAGTTGCTCCTGGAGTAACAACTGAGAAGATAGATTCTGAAATCCGGGAGTTTATTCTGAGTCACGGAGCATATCCGTCTCCTTTTAACTTCAAGGGGTTCCCTAAATCTATCAGCTGTTCAGGAATATCATTCATTTTCTGATTATTAATTTTATCCGTATCCGAATCATTTACTGTACTGGCGGTAGTGTTGTTACTCGTTTTGGTTAGTTATTTCTTTCAGGTTTAAACTTTGGCATAATGTTAGAAATGATTTTTAATTGTTGATTTTAAATTTTAACTTTTATTACACTATGATAAAATTTGACCCTTTGAAATATATGCAAATGAAACGAAACAAAAACTAACCAAAAACGTTCTTTTTTTAAGATAAAAATATTTTAACAGTTTTATTATACGTTATTTTAAAAAACAATTAACAGCACCAACTGGAGGGTATGAACCATTTTTTCCCCGTCTAATTAGTAGCGATGTTTTTTTTTAAAGAAACTGGGACTCGCCAAAGAATTTAATTTTCTAATTCTTTTAACTTTGCAACCTGATATCGTAGATCTATGATATTTCAAACTATTAATTCTGTCAGATCTAATGGTCTGAGTTTGAAATATCAAAGATCTCAACAATCAGCTTGCAAAGAGTTAGGGATTAAAAAATTAGAGATCAGTTAATATAACAAAATCATAAATTTTGAAAAATTATGAATTTTAAATGATTTAGTAAACAACGTTGCTGCTCATGGTATCCCAGACGCCAGAGAACTTGAACCCGGAGATATCATCAACATAGACATCACCGTGTTCAAGGACGGATTTCACGGGGACTGCTCCGATACCTTCCCAGTCGGAGACATAGATCCATACGCAGCTAAACTCATCGACATAAGCAGAGAGTGTTTAGGTAATTACCCGGGCACTCTCGTGCATTCGCCACTCTCCGCTAAAATCCACTATGTCTTTGATCAGTGTAGTTCAGGATGCTGTATTCCGCAGTACCTTACGCATATTTAGAGGGTACATGATTTAACTATATAGTAGCATACAAAATAATGGTGTTAACAATATAATATTATTAATAATAGTATTATTAATAAATATGATAACGTTTAGATATTAGTATCTTGAGATGTAAGGACGGAGAACTATACAGAACTATCGGAGAAACTATTGATAAATGCGCCAAAAAGAATAAATTCTCCACTATACAGATTCTATTGGGACATGGTATAGGTCAGTTCATTAGATTCTTTGGAGAACTTAATTTTTTCATATTTATGAACATGGCTAAAATAATAATAATTAACAAATCCATTTGAAATTAACTTTTCTGAATTCAGTGTTTTAAGACGAGTATATCAAATTTCGGAAAATTTGTAGTTTAAGAACAAAGTAGAGTTCACATCCCATCATCAAACAATTCTCTTTGATATAAAAATTTTTATTTTGAAAACTTTTAGGAACTTTTTTCCACGGCCCCCCTGACATCTACCACTGCTTAAACAGCTACCCTGGAAAGATGGCTGCAGGGATGGTGTTTACTATAGAGCCTTGCCTTTCCGAAGGAGATAGGTTATATCAGACTAGTGATGTTAATTGTGTGGTTCATTTTTCACATATATTTTCTCTCACCCGATGGCGGTCTGGGCTCTCTGACTAGGGGGTGGGGGGCCTTTCAATTTCTTTACTAATTTTCTCCTAGTGTTCTAAGTTTGTAAGAAAAGAAAGTGTTTTCAAAATTGTTTATTCTAAACATTGTCAATCTTTGACTATGACAGAAAACACATGCAAAAAAAGAACGTGTTAGAACGTTTTTTAAAAGTTTTTGAAAAACTAACCAACGGCTGAATTTAAAGAATTTGAGCCGCAGCTTAAATTTAAGCCGCGACTCAGATATGGTTGGTTCCACTTAAAATCGTATTCAATGTTTTAAGATTTAAGCCGGCGCTCAATTGAAACCAGTTTTTGGGGGGATTTGAGACGCGGCTCAAATTTATTAAATTTGGACTGGTTAACAATTAACATCACTCGAGGAGCCTTATTTTAAAGGGGATAAATGCTATTTTATAATGTCGAGCAGTCTCTTGTGACATTTAAATATCAAATATTTTTGTTTTTCAAATTCATGTTTTATATTTTGCATTTTGTGCATTGCTTGATTTACAGCGATTACAATACATTACATGGTACATTGTACATGGTGGTACATTGTACATGGTACATGGTACATTGTACATGGAACATTGTACTTGGTACATTGTGCATGGTACATTGTACATGGTACATTGTACATGGAACATTGTACTTGGTACATTGTACTTGGTACATTGTACATGGTACATTGTACATGGTACATTGTACTTGGTACATTGTACATGGTACATTGTACATGGTACATTGTACATGGTACATTGTACATGGTACATTGTAAATGGTACATTGTACATGGTACATTGTACTTGGTACATTGAGGGTTTGCCATTTTTCTGCGAGAATTTAACAGAAGCAAAAAGTGTTCTTCTAAAATACTAAGACATGTTTATTAAATGCATTTTACTCAAATATCAAACATGGCTGTCTCAAATGGGGTTTAATGATAAAATGTGGAAAAAATCATTTGTTTAAGTGAAAATGAAAATTTTGAAAAACTGATCAAAGTGTGTATCTTTGGAACCGGGTTGAATGTCCAAATTCAAATCAATTTATAGAATTTAAAAAAATTGAAATTTGACCGAGTTAGGTCATAAAAACACTTAAGTACATCATGCAATTTATTTTAAGAAAAAACGAGTTTTGATCATAACTTGCCAATTTTCAATAGTTTTCAATTCTGTGAATTGTTTTGAACTCCGGTTTTCAAGCCGGTTCCATTAAACTCCATTTGAGGGACCCATTTTTGAATTTTGTGAAATGCTGTTTATAAACATGCCTTAGAATTCCAAGTATTTGCTAATTTGCTTCTGTTAAATGGATTCAGAAAAATGCCTCACCCCCTATTGAACGCTTTACAATGCACATACATTGTTGTGAGATTTGATTAAGCTTAGAGGTTATTTTTAACCTAGTTAAAAAAAACATTTTATACGTACATTTGTATTTTGTAGTTTTAAAAACATTGTAAAGTAATTCAAGTGATGAGAAATGTCCATTTATCTAGTTTTTTATTTTTACCAGGAGAATCCGATTTCTCCGGGATGGTTGGACAGCTGTAACAGTTGATAACTCGAGAACTGCACAAGCTGAGCATACCATACTCATCACACAGACCGGAGCAGAGATACTAACAAGCAGATCTGGAGATATGTTAACCAGTAGACCGGGAGATGTGTTATGCAATATACCTGGAGAGGAATTATCTAGTAGATTTGGAGAGGTGTTATCCAATAGACCTGAAGAGGAGTTATCCAGTAGATCTGGGGAGGTGTTGTCTAGTTTCCGAGATGTGTTTTCTAACAAACCTACCGATAAAGTATCAAGTAGACTTGGAGAGAAAGAAAGCTGATAGTAAATATATATCTATACAAGTTTCATTTTCTAGTCAAACGTAGTTTTTATGGGGTGTCTTAATATTCATGAGATTTTGTTAGAATCTTTCAGAACATAGATTGAGACACCCTGCAACTAACTAATGAATAATTGTTATGATTTTGTGAACATCTTTTACGGGTTTAGTTTTAACAAATTATAGCCTTCAAGCCTTACATTGTACACTTCTCATTTTCCGTTAGGAGATATGCGTATTGGTACACATCATGTTGTACACAGAGCCTGAAACTTAAGACAGAGTATCATGAAACCCAGTATCGGAAACAATGGTTTCATGAATGGAGTTTAGACAGTTTTGTAGCCACCATTATTGTTATGAAATATTATCTTATTTGGTTTCTTTGTATTCTCTTTTTGTGTTCTAATTTCTCAAATCAAAATCTACACAAATGTTTCATATTGCTAAAACCTCAAAAAGGAAAATCAGGACTCCCTTTAATTTCAGGCTTTGATGTAGAGCGTACACTGTATACCTTTATGTGTTGTTCCTAAGGAGGTTATAACGTTGTACACTGTACACTGTACATATTGTACATTGCACAATTCGAACCCGATGTTTTGTAAACTTATCTTTTTAGAATAAAAAAAAATCCAATAGCATTTTGTAATTAAATGTTACTGATTATCGTGTTACTTACATCTTGTTATTGAAGTGTGTAAACTAGATTTTATATTTGTAACTTTTTGAGACCTATAGATTCATTCTGTGTTTGAAAAACCCAGTGAAATAAAGAATTCTAAAGCCACAAGATATTTAAAGGATTTATTTCATGATTGAAACGGATAGAAAATATTTTGTGCATCGGGCTTATGAAGAATTCGTAGTTAAGGTAAGTACAATAACACTACAACGATTGGGAATACATGTAAGATATTATCAAAAGTATTCTTTCGAGTTTGCTCTTATCTTCTGTTACTCATATTTTGTCTATACTTACCCTTCCTAAACTGTACTTGTTCTAGTGCCTTCTAGACTTCGTATTCCAAACATCTTAAAATGGTCTAATGTATTATCAATACATTTATAGGTAATTATTTCTTAACTTTATCTGCTCTATTCTTGTCCTTCCATACTTCTTATCTGCTCTATACTTATCCTTCTATACTTCTTATCTGCTCTATTCTTGTCCTTCCATACTTCTTATCTACTCTATTCTAATCAGCTCTATACTTATCTTTCTATCCTTCTTATCTGCTCTATTCTTATCCTTCCATACTTCTTATCTACTCGATTCTAATCAGCTCTATACTTATATTTCTATCCTTCTTATCTGCTCTATTCTTATCCTTCAATACTTCTTATTTGCTTTATTCTTATCCTTCCATACTTCCTATCTGCTCTATACTTATCCTTCAATACTTCTTATCTGCTCTATTCTTATCCTTCAATACCTCTTATCTACTCTTTTCTAATCAGCTCTTTACAGGGTGTCCCAAAAAACACGGAAATTCAATGACGAATTGGATATCGTCTTTGTTATGAATTAGCATTGTATAATACCTAATTTCAAAAGCCATAATGTTATGCCTGCTAGAGTTTATTTTATGACAAGATGAACAGTGTAGACGGACAAGTTTACTCTGTATACTGCAATTTTCTTGTTTTACTATGTATGTCCGTATGCAGTCAAAACATAAACAAACAAAATGTGAACATAGCAGACTAAACTCTTACAGATTACAGCTTTCTCAGTAGGTATCACTATAATAAATCAAAGAATCATTTAATAAGACGATATCGAATTCGTCACTGAATTCCCATGTTTATTGGGACACCATGTACTTATCTTTCTTTTCTGCTCTATTCTTATCCTTCTTATCTGCTCTATTCTATCCTTCAATACTTCTTATCTACTCTATTCTTATCCTTCAATACTTCTTATTTGCCCTTTACTTATCCTTCCATATTCTTTTTATCTTATCTATACTTATCCTTCTATACTTTTATATCTGCTCTATTCCTATCCTTCTTTACTTCTTATTTGCTCTATTCTTATCCTTCAATATTTCTTATCTGCTCTATTCTAATCCTTCATTACTTCTTATCTACTCTATTCTTATCCTTCCATACTTCTTATCTGCTCTATTCTTATCCTTCAATACTTCTTATCTGCTCTATTCTTATCCTTCAATACTTCTTATTTGCCCTTTACTTATCCTTCCATACTTATCTGAACGGAAAATATGTGTGCCTCGCCTTTTTTTTGTTCGTACTTCACACTGACACTTTTCTGTTTTCTTATTTTATTCCGAAACTGTAACTTGCAGGTTATTTTGGACTGGGAGTTTTAGAATCTACAACTGAATTTATATTTTTAGTAGGGAACATAGAAATTGGTTTTTATTTGCTTGAGGGAGTAACAAAAAGAAATTGCCATGAAATGTTTTTTTTATAAACCAATTTAAACATTATGACGTGGCTAAAATTTCGAATATAATAATAAAAACATAAAAAAAGAATTTAAACAATGCCGGACGATAAAGGTGTGGTCGGACCTACATAGTAATTTGGTGAATTTTGAAATTTGTGGTTTGACAAAAAAAATGTTTTGGTGTGTTTGCCTTCACTCACTTCTCATCCACTCTGTTCTTGTAATTCTTATTTAATCTTTTTTTCTTTTCGCCTCATCCTTTCACACTAAAGTAAACTGGAATCAAGATTTTATTTTTACTCCTCTAATTGAAGCGATCAAAACAATTGGGAAGAACAAAAATATTTTGAATTGGTGATATTTAACCGATTAAATTTTCTTTCCTCAAACTTGTTCGTGGTCACACGTCCATCCTCATTTTCTCATAGCTGATTATCTTCCTTTATCATCATCCTGACTATACTTTACATTTTTTGTAATGAATTATTTATTTTACATGTGTAGTGTAATTTGTGTTAAGGGCCAATCATTTAAAACAGCCCTTATCGGCTAGATAGGTCCTTGCTAATAAATTGTATGTCTGTTTTCAATAATTTTTAAAACTTGTTTTAACATATCATTAGTCGAAATAAATAAATAAAAATCCTCCCATACGCGCTTTCTGAACCGTTGTTATTATTTTAAGTAAGCTTTTGTATCGGGTCTATTAATAATAAAATTTTGTCCTAAACTTTTAATCTGGTGTATTCCAATCCTAAATCTTCGCAAGAATGGAATGCAAGGAAAGTTAATTGCTGTTGCGTATACTCTGAGTACATATTGAAACCAGTTCTCTCTAGGCGGAATTTGTAAGCAAGATTGGATGCATCAGTGTCCGAGGTGGTTAAAAGCACTGAATTTTGATAATTTTGATAATTCACATAATAGTTTCCTATAAGCAGAATATTTCATTGATTATTTATATGAAAGATGGATCCCATGTCAGACTTCGACAACCGTCTTGTGTTTACATTACCGCCCAGTGACAGTACACTGCAGTACAAAAGATGCGAACACACCTAAAATAACTTTCCTTGCATTAAATCCTTGAATCTTCGTATCTGGTCTAAAGTAATATAATGTAAAACACTAAAATATTAGATTCATTGATCTTAGTAATATTCATGGTTGAACAGTTTGAGTAGCGGATCAAAGTAGGGAGGGAACCCCCGGACGCCATGAGCCTCTGCTATGCACACATCGAGCCTCCCAGATTCGTTAGGCAGACGAGCCTCCACTTTACAGACAAAGCCTACGCTATGCAGACCGTGCCTCCACTATGCAGTAGACGAGCCAACTCTTGGAGGCTCGTGTCTGCATAGCGGAGGCTCATGGCGTCCGGGGGTTCCCTCCCTCATCAAAGTTCCTGTGTAATTATATTTTTAACTTCGTGCTTAACAGATGAAAATATTGCCAACATTAAGATAAAACTTTTACTAGAAGAACAAGGACTATAAAAATAGCATACAATATTACGTCATTTTGGTCGCATGTTTACGTTACCTAACTCTGGCATAGTCAGTGACAGAACTTTTCTATAATAAATCTCTCTACTTAAGTTATAAAAATCGAAAAATAATTTTTATCTTAAGAAAAGTAGAGATAAAACATGACAGTTGAGAAACGACAATGATCTTTGATAGCTATATCTTTTCTAATTTAGATCTTTGATTGCTATATATTTTCTAATTTAGATCTTTGATAGCTATATCTTTTCTAATTTAGATCTTTGATAGCTATATCTTTTCTAATTTAGATCTTTGTTTCTTAAAAACAGTTGTAAGTAAACATACAGGTCGGCGTTATTTTTACATAATCAACGATTGTGAATTAAACAATATAGTTTTTTATATTTTTTACGATTTAAATAGTTTTGTATAGATTACATGATAATTTTTGAAATTAAATAATTTTTAAAATTTTAATATATTTTTTCTAGATAATTCAACCTCTTTTTTGTGCACTATCCGAATACTATATCTAATCTTAAGAAAATTTGCATTATTAAAATAGTAAAACGACTTTTGATTTTTCGTCACGTAATGAAACTATACTGTAAAGCTTACAACTTTGACTTTCCACCTAGATATTTATATTATGTTTTTATAAAGTATACAAAGAAACCTTTGACAGTTTGTAAAAATACAAGACAGCTTCAGAAATCCTTGTTGTCCTTAGATATCTATTACGTATATCAAAGATGTCCTTAGATATCTATCACGTATATCTATCACATCTATCACGTATATCACGTATATCAAAGATGTCCTTCAAGTCGTCTCTAAACTCTCAGGCTTGGAGATACTTTCTTTATCTTTCAGGGAAAATGTGGTAAAGTTATAAAAAATATCGCATGAAAATAATGTTCAAAACTAGAGTCTCTTCAATTCGAGTTGGTACGGTAAAACTATAACCACGTTATTCGTTAGAGGAAACAAACCTTAGAGTTTCCCAACCGGAGAAAGTTTCCCAACCGGAGAAAGTTTCCTAACCGGAGAAAGTTTCCCAACTGGAGAAAGTTTCCTAACCGGAGAAAGTTTCCCAACTGGAGAAAGTTTTCTAACTTAAAGTATTTCTACCCTAAGGGTGTTCGACCAAAAGATCTTAATTTAGGTGGGGTTACAATGAGGTTCATGAGATAAGCGGGGAAGTAATTCAATTAGACATAAAATCCCACAGGGAAAAAACTACCCGCTTAATATTAAAACCACTTGATATTTTCATGATTACTACTTGATTAGATCGGATTTTCTTTTAGGTCGGGTTTTATGGCACAGAAATGTCTCTGATCATTTAATAATTAAATATCATTATATTTTTCTGTTCCATTTCTAAAACAAGTTTCTGTTTAAAAACTGGATAAATTCAACTCACTTTAAGTGCTTAAAGGGACTGTAAGCGTAATTTTAATTGTGACCATCTATGAAGGATGGTCCCGCACGCACCTCTGACCCTTTAGAAAAAGTAAATTCAACCTAATGTCTGACCGAGTCAACCTTGTTGCACCAGCTAGTCCTATTGAGTGTCTACCTTATTTACCCAAAATCGGGCGATACAGTACAAACTGGAACCGGAAAGGTTGACCCGGCTTTGAAATTCAAATGTATTACGGCTGACCGTGCCCGTACCCTTAAAAGGTTTCTCGACGATTTATATGTTGATATGTTGATTATGTTTTTATTTTAGAAAACTGATTATTTTTATGGTTTCTCGACAAAAGGGATTTGCGCATTTCTATACTGAAGGGAAAATGTCAGGAATTATTAGAATTAAATAATTTTAAACCAAGAAAAACGACGATATCTTCCACATTATAATTAAATAATGGTTCCAAGGAACCGT